GATGATTGAATTTATTAAATTAAATAAAAATTAGGATCAAAATATATAGATATTGAAGACTAAATGTATAATTATGTTATTTTTTGTCAGTCATGTTGACTCTTCCGTTAAATATTGATGGTTGATGATTCGATTGACTTAAATAACTAAATAATTTAATTGATAAAATTTAAAAATGAATAATCAAAATTTAAAGATGGATAAAAAATAATAATTTATAAACAATGGTTATAATTGTTTTTACCAAAACTTTTTGCATATTTAAAATTATGGTTTGTACAAGAATTAAGTGACTTCATGGGTAAAAGAAGATTGTTATCTTTGATTATTTCGTGTTCGATCACGATATTTATAGGAGTGTTTGAGTATTCATTGTTAAATAATTAAAAACCTTTCAAATATATATTATTTTGTAATCATCCCAAACTAATAAAAAAAATACGATTTATATATATAATATTCATAACCGTGTCTTTGAAAATATTAATAAATTTATATAAATTTGTATGTAAAAATTGTACTTGTATAGAATTTATCAAAAATAATTTATTTTAAAAATATATATATACATCCATATTGTACTTGTATTAATTTTGTGAGTTAAACTAATACATTATAGAATTTTACGCATTAATTATTTGTGTTTGCATAATTTTGAATTTTTTTTATATATTTGTCTCATATTTACTTTTCGTTTATTTATATAATCTAAAACTGATAATTATATATAAATATTTATATTATGTTTAGAACGGATATTACATTTTAATCCCCTAAGCTTAATAAAAAAATTCATACTATACTTGTGTTAATTTTGTGTGTTAAATTATATTCGGTCAATGAGAAATTAAACCTTGAGTGCACGAACGTAGTAAATGTCTCGATATTGTGATTATGTGAAAAATGAATTAAATTGCATCAAATCTAAATAGGAAATTACCAATTTCAAAATGAAGAGTGATATTGTTAGACTAAATTGTGAAAAAAAAAACCGTAAGTATTGATAAGATAAATTTCAACCATTTAACATTTAATGTTTACACCCTTTGTATTTTTGGTGCTCAAACTTGGAAGATCAAAGAATGATAACAATTCCTTTACCACTAAGGTCATTCGGTTCATGCTACTTCCATTGTATGCTTTTTATTTATTTATTTGGTTGCCAGTATATTGAATGAATTGGAAATATCTAATAGCATTTATGTTAGGCTTGTAAATAAGACGAGACATATCACGATTCGTTAAGGTCTGTCAATCATAATTTAAATCCAACTCTAATTCTAGCCGAAACAAACTTTTTAATACCTAACTTAAAAAAATTGTGACCAACTCAAAGATAATATATTAATTTTTTATTTCTTAAAATTAAAATATTAATATTAATAAATTATTTTTTAAAACATGGATATTTTTTGACATTGCATCTTACTATTAACTTTGATTGTTTGAAAAATCCACGAGGTTTAAATTTGTGGTCCATCTATTGTAAATGGTAATGTATGGTGATGCGATTGAGAAATATTTATAATAAATGAATGTATGGTATCAGTTTTGTGATTCATGACATGGGTGACTAGATTCCCACTTTAGCACAATATTTAAGGATACTGCTACTTCATGCTTTTATAGTACAACATTATAATCCTTAATCAATAAATTAAGGCCCATTAATTGTATTCTTTTAAAAAAGGTTATAATATTATTGAAAAGAGAAAAAAATTAAATCCATTGAATTACTTCAGTGATAAAAAGAAATATTAATTTCTTAAGATGACCTAAATTTGAGTAAATATATTTATATAATACACGTGCTTTGTCAGTAACTAAAAAAAAGGCTCTGAATAAATATTATATTATTGAAAAAAATTAAATAATTTTGTATAAACTTATTCAGTTCTCTCTTCTTCCTCCGGTGGAGTGGAGTGGAGTAATGCAAATACGGTTGTTAACAAATGAAGAAGGATTGGATTTTGTGGCCAGCAACAAATGCATGGCTTATTCAGGTTCCACCCAATTTCTAATTATAGAATCAACTCTACCGAACACATTAATATATAATTTTACTTGTGGACTGCCTCCATTTGAGTTCTTTTAAACCTTGAATAGCATGACTATTGATTTGATTAATATGAATTTGATTATTAATCTCATGCTATTTTTTTATTAATATGGAATAAGTATAAGTCGGTATTTGTTCAAATATAATTTTCAATCATTTAACATTGAACGTTTACATTTCTAATATTTCTAATACTCGAATCCGTGACCTCAATGAATAACAATATTTCATTTGCCATTGAAGTTGATTGGTTGATATAATCTCATGCTATTTTTTTAGCTACTACAGAAAAGCAGAAACAGAGACCGGCTTATGAACCTTGATCCTCAACCATTAAAATCGCAACTTCACACGGGGCTTCCTGGTACAGCGTCGTTCCAACCGGTTTCCCCTAGCCATCGAAGCAAGCCTGTCAGCTACCTTATTCGCCTCACGATAGGTATGGCCAATTCTCGAAGTCCAGCTCCTTTTTAAAATATCACAAATCAGCATGACAATAGTATTCCCTGTATCCTCGTGGGGATGTTGATTGATGAGATTCACCGCCATTGCACCATCCGTTTCCACCTTGAATTTTTTAAAGGGAAGATAAATTTCTAATATTACAAGGAATAATTTTTTAGAATTTTAAAGGGTGAAAATATATTATTGATAAAAATATAAAAATATTCAAAATATATGAATAAAATATTCAAGAGGACAATTGCGCTTGCTATTCTCCTTTGGTCCATCCTTGAATAATGGACGTTTTTTTCCTATAAAAATGTTAGAATTCCAAAAGTAACAAATAAGAATGGCAGAACGACTCCAACCGAGGGGAAAATTGAAACCCGGTTAAATTCGAGTCGGTCGGTTTGAATAATATCGGGTCGGATATCGGGGTAAAATTCGGGGATTTTTTGGGTTAGGGGCAAGGTATCCCCACCCCATCCCGATATATATATATAATATTTTATATTTTTTATTAATTATATATAAAATTTTTTATATTTTTTATATTAATTATATAATACAAACTCTAAACCCTAAACATTTAAACCATAAACCCTAGATTTTATAATTATTAAAGTGAAATTTGGTTGATTTTTTGATAAATTTCTCAATGTAGGGAGCTACCAAAGAAAGTGACAAAAGTGGCACAACGATTTTGGATGACTTTATTTGACTTAATATTATGTATGCATCTTCGTTGTATGATTTGAATATCGGAACAAGTTTGTATTTATTTATGTATGTGTTTTATTTTGGAGTTTCGACAATTATTTAGAATTGAGTTTGAATTTGTGATTGTAGTTTGATTTGTAAATCATATAGACTAATTTTCTAATTTTTTTGTGATCATTTTTCTATTTTTTATGAAAACTACAGTTGCTCGATTTTTTTTCTCGGGATCGGGTTCTCGGGTTCGAGGACGGGACAAAAAAAATCGCTGACGGGGCGCCCCGATAAAAAACCCGACGAGAAACAGGACGGGGACATAGATTCATTTCGGGGACGAAGACAATGAGAGCAAATCCTACCCCCAAACCCGTCCGTTACCATTCCTAGTAACAAAAAGAAAAGATGGCATTGCGACCACCAAACACAAACGTGAATCAGCCCATTCTACAGTTATTAGAAAGGACCAATATATGTAAATTCTTCATAATTTACTGGTCAATGCTTAAAATTTAATGTAAAATTTAGGTTGATTTATTATTTGGTTTTAACTAAAATTGAAAATCTATTTTATTATTTTCATATGTGTTACAACTTTATTAGTCATAAAACGTCTAATCTATTTTTTAATTAATCATTGATATCCGATCTAATGACAGATTATTTCAGATCAGATACTGCAAAGGCGATGACGTCCCTCCCAACCCAATTTGTTTCATTCGTAAACGTCAATGTTTGAACCCTTGACATTATTCAAGTAATCTAGTGCCTTATCCTACTAGACCAACCTCTTATTGGTAAAATTTTAATTATATAGTTAAAATATTTTAATATATCTATAAGAGCTATCCCGAATTTTTGATTTGAAGTATTGTGTTATGAGAACAACACGGAAATGAAATTTTATTGATTTTTTTATGGTTACTTAAGTCTTTAAAAAGGATTATAAGTTGAATGATTTTTTTTCTTATTAATGAAATTAAGCAAATAACTTAGCTTGACGGCTTGAAGATTGAAGTTGTTTCCGGCGTGCTGGGTGTAAGCCCCTAACAGCTGACTTTTAGTATTTAATTTAAATTGAACCAATTAGAATATAAAATGTGTCATTTTTTATTGATTTTAAAAAATTTATTTATTAATCAAGTTTATAAAATTAAATCAAAATTTTCAAGTTTTTATTTAAATTTAATTGTAAATATTTATATTTTTATGATACTATTTGCTTCCAAATTAAATGATTTTGTATAATCATATACAATACATATATGTTTTTTATATTTTCATATGTAATATAATATATCATATAAAATTGGGGATTTGATTTAAACTTAAAAGTCAATATTCTGATTGCTAAATATTGAGTTACTATTTAAATTAGTTCAGTTATGTTTTATAATTCGATTTAAATTTAAATTTTTTAATTAAATCAAGTTTATAAAATTAAGATTCGAATTAGTTATAATATTTTTTCTCAAGTTGAATGGAGTTAAAAAATTAATTTTTCATGAATCCTATTCGTCCTTACGTAATTTGTCACCCATCCGCCAGTTGGCAATTGGCAATTACGAAAAGGCACACGTGACATGAACTGATCAGCTGATGCTGCGCCACTGCTTTTGCAATTTGCTTGGAATTTGACCTTAAGATCAGGTCACGTCGTAAACGATCCCACCAGATTCTTGGGTCCCCCGACCAAAGTGAGTGCCGCCCGCTCACTGCTTTCAATTTTAATTTCATTTTATTTTATTTATTTAAGGCCAAAGATAACAGAAGAGAAGCGTGAACCAATTTTCATCTCTGGTTCCGTGCCCATTGTTTCTTTCTTTTTGGCTATCCATTCCTCAAAACTCCACCCTCTTATAGCGGTAGACATGACGGCTGCCGGGATTCCCTTTTATCTCGTATTCTTTCTGCTATCATCGACCCTTTCTTCTTCTTCTTCTTCTTCTTCTTCTCTCCTCATCTTCATCCCGGAACTGAAACTGCTGGTATTTTCATCTCTTTTCTTTTTCCCTTTTCTTCTATAAATATCGATTCTTTCTTTGTTTACAGTTTGGGCGACAAGTCAGCATCTTTTTAAGCCCTTTGTCTTCCCTCTTTCTTTGAAAAAAGCATATTTTTTATCCGATGAATGTAGAGATAGATGAGAAATCGGAGCAAGTTTCGGACTTTTACTACTTAAAAGTGATATATCTTATATTGTTTTTGTTTTACGTGAGAGTAATGATTATCGTGTTACCATTTGGTTATTGAAGAAAAAGAAGGCAAAACAAGATCTTTGCATTCAGAAATATTAAGGGACGAGGCTGTTGCAAGGCTTAATGACCTTGGAAAGGTGCTTCTAATTTGTACCGTTTTATTATTATTTCTCTTTTAATCGTTTTTAATTTTAACAGTGGAAATTATGCATTTCTTTAATGTTTGAAATTTATATCGCATGGCCGAAAGTGATTTAAATTAAATTATAGGTGGAGAAACATGCGAAATAGGCAAAGCTTGAAACAGTCAAAAGTCTTGAACATGATGTATTGTCTTGTTTTTATCAGGCTATAAGAAACTGAAAAGAAGAAAAACCCAGAAATTGTTATTATATTTGAAGATATCCTTAAACCAGCTATAGTTAGATTGCAGAGAAATTTAGTTTCAATAAGACTTGGACTAATTATTAGTTATCACACTTCCTCTGTGATACATAGTTGGAACCATACAATGTGCATGTGTGATTACAGCCAGTGACCAGTTGAGTTGTTGTCTGCAACGATGTTAGTTAGTCTTCGATTTTCGATAAATTGCTTTAAGTTACTAAGAAAACAATGTTGCTGGATGTCGTTTGCCTCGTTTTATAGGTGAGTGATGCTGATGACTATCTTGAGAGAACGTTTATGAGTCCGGCATCGGTGAGGGCAGGAATTCTTATTCGTGAATGGATGGAGGATGCCGGTTTGCGAACGTTAGCTTTCTACCTTTCGTTGACGCCTGATTAAGGTCTCCACTGCTCTTCACTAATGGTTATGTTAATTTCCAGGTGGATGGATTCGATGGGCAATTTGCACGGTCGAGTTGAGGGAATGAACCCAAGTGCTCAAGCTCTGCTAATTGGCTCTCATATGGTGGCGCCTCTCGTTTCTCTCATTTTTACTGAATTTCATAATAAAACATGCAACCAAAAATGAATGGCACTCTCATACTGATAGTTGACATCTTCATGGGAAAATAGGATACTGTTGTTGATGCTGGAATATTTGATGGATCATTAGGTATAATTTCTGCTATATCAGCATTGAAAGCTTTGAAAAGCAATGGCAAGTTGGGAGAACTAAAACGGCCTGTCGAGGCAAGTTATCGACATCTTCGAATGTTATAATATATCCAAGCCGTGTTTCAAAAAGATGGTTTTCGACTGGACATGCTTTATAGCGAGTGATATTGAGAATATTCTTGTTTCTTATATTTTGTTGAAACTTGCAGGTCATTTCATTTAGTGATGAGGAAGGAGTGAGGTTTCAATCTACCTTTCTAGGCAGTGCGGCTGTAGCGGGAGTTTTGCCTCTTACGGCATTGAATACATCCGATAAGAGGTTGCCTTAGTTAACACCCTTTACTTGTCTACTTATTGCATTGTTGACGACTGGTATCTTTATGCATAATCCTTGTTTAGTGGTGTGACACTGCAAGATGTTCTTAAGGGGAATTCCATAGAAATTACAGAGGAAAGCTTGTTGGAGTTGAAGTATGATCCTTCATCGGTTTGGGGTTACATTGAGGTACGTTCGCCTGCTCTGCATTATTTTGAGGATAAAGCTATATCGGTTATCTTGGGATATTCAACAAACAACTTAGCTTTGGATTTGGAATACTTTGATTCGTTTATGCAGCTTCATATCGAACAAGGACCTGTATTAGAATGGACCGGTTTTCCTCTTGCTGTAGTTAAAGGCATAGCTGGACAGACACGAATGAAGGTAAGTGTTGTCTTTTCTAAATAGATACATGACCTTCTCAAGACACACCCAATCTATGATCTTTTTTATTACCTTGGAGTTCAAGGAAATATGCAAACCTTGTATTCTATTTGCGGATACTTTTCATTTGGGATTTATGGTTGCTTGTATTCTATTTTCAACCAAAGCTCCAACTTGGATATATGTGAGAGTATAATAATTTTCAGTCCATAGGATTCATCGCCTTCTCTCGCTTTTGAAGGTTACGGTGAGAGGTTCACAAGGACATGCAGGAACAGTACCTATGTCGATGCGTAGGGACCCTATGGCTGCTGCTGCTGAGTTGATTGTTTTGCTAGAAAATCTGTGTAAACATCCTCGAGAGTTCTTATCGGATGGTGGTAACTGCAATGAATACACCTTGGAATCGTTGTCCACTTCTCTTGTCTGCACCGTTGGAGAGATCTCGACCTGGCCGAGTGCAAGTAATGTCATTCCAGGCCAGGCAAGAAATTATTCCGTGAACAAATCTCAATGTCAGCCTAAACAGGAATGCCAGCTGAGCGGTAAATATCAACTCTAATGCAGGTAACATTCACTGTGGATTTACGCACAATCGATGATGTTGGACGTGAGGCTGTTGTTTACGAACTATCTAACCAGATTTATAAAATATGTGATCGACGTTCTGTTTCTTGCATCATCGAACGGAAGGTAGGACGCTTTCTTAACATTTTCTCGAGGCATTTAGCTTTGAAAAGAAAAATTGATAGAACAGTCTGCTGTGGATCATTTCAGCATGATGCTAATGCAGTAATCTGTGATCAAGAACTGAGCTCACAGCTACGGTCTGCGGCCTACACCGCTGTCCAGAGAATGACCGGGGAGATTCAGGAAGAGGTTCCGGTGCTAATGAGCGGAGCAGGGCATGATGCAATGGCCATATCTCATTTAACCAAGGTTCGTCTGTTTTCATTGTTTAACTTACGAACGTGCATGGCATCAAATTAGTGGTCGAAGGGTAACAGCGATCATGGTTTTGGAACAGGTCGGAATGCTATTTGTACGGTGTCGGGGAGGCATAAGTCATTCCCCAGAGGAGCATGTGTTGGACGATGATGTTTGGGCGGCCGGTTTAGTTGTGCTAGCATTTCTCGAGTCTCACATGTAATTTGTAACATTGAAAAAGTTTGCAAACCGTAAATGTGAATAGGACTATCTTCTTCAATAAATCTGTTTTGTCATTTGTCCAATCCAAATATAGAATCCGGATCCTACGTACAGCATCATAATATTTCCTTGTGGAGCTTGTATTCACCGTCTTCCAAATTAACCCACGTAAAATTACCTAACTCTCAATAAGTGTTAATTTTAAAATTTTTATTTTAAAGAAAATTTAAAAATAAATTATTATATTAAAAATATTTTTACAAAATGCCCCACCCCTTCACCTCCCTCCCTGCCGTCCCCCTACTGCTCCTCCTCCCTTCCCCACTCCCCATACGGATTCCAATCGTAAAACAGTGGTCGCCGCCATCAACGCAGCATTCAAACAATGACAGCTCTGGGTATTTCATTTGAAGATGATTTTTTGAAGAGAGAAACAATAATTAAATTCTCCCATGAAAATAAACCGCTTGGAATCGAACCATCCAAATTGCTTGTAGACAAATCAAAATGCTGTAAACTTGAAAGATTGTCGAAATTTCTGAGATTTATCCGATCAAATTGGTTCCCTTCATCCATAAATTCGTCAATTTCTTCAAAAATCCGAACTCTTGAGAAATTTCCATGGAGACGAAAGAGTTATACGCCATACCGAATTCTTCAAGATTCGACAATTATTAATTTACTTAGGAAATTAGTCTTTTAAAAGATTTTGGTGCATTTATAGCTTTTGCATTACTGGGAATTTCTCGATACTAAATGGGTATGAAGATGGGTACAAAGATGAAGATGATGAAAAGGGAGGAGGGGGACGACGACGGGGGAAGGGGAGGGAGAGGGAGGAGTTTTTTTTGGGGGGGGGGGGGTTTGGATTTTTAAAAAAATATACAAAAATTTATTTTTGGTTTTTTTTAAATAAAATTTTTAAGACACGAGTCATTTAAAAAAGATTTTAACGCTTATAGCATCCTAAACACCTAAGATAATAACGTATATTAAATTAAACATTAAATTATTTAAACATTAAATTATTTAAAAATAATTTAAACAAAAACGCTATTACCTATTTATAATTATAATTAAACCTTCTTTATATATGTTCATAGAACGAAAAATAGAATTACTCATAGTCTTGCCCAATGATATATATTTGAACAGGAGCATCTGAATTGTATCAACAATGATATGCTGATTGATGCTATTGGTAGATAGCGACATTATGACATGAACAATGGTCTTTTCAAATTGGATATGATGATTATTGAGTAAGGCATGCATAATTTTATGTTAAAAGGTAAAAGAATCTTATGGGGTGAATTTGTTGATCAGAATCCGTGTAAGAAATTCTTTAATTAAAAGTTTGACCTTAAAAAATATTCTAAGAGGTGAGTAACACATCAATAAACAAATACCAAGCGTCATAACCTACGCCTCGACCACACTTGCAACAACAAGGAGACCTAAAGGTAAAGCGTGACCAACAAAAACACAACCGTATTGTCACGAACTAGGACCCAAATGAAGTAAAAAGCAGAGGTGAGAGAGAAGAAACCATTTATGTTGATCTTAACTGTGAAGGATGTTGGCTCGAAAAAATGCATATTGAAACACATGACATTTTAAAATTAAATTTTATCCAAATACGATATATTTTTCATGAATAAGTTAATTATGACGGTTTCATAGAACACGTGATAATATCACAAGATTGATAAATCGATAATAAACGACGTTAGAAGTAAGGATTCAAGTCATTCTTTGATCGGCTGATGAGACGTATGCTAATAAGTTGGAACATCTGCTATGCATATGGCACCCGGACAATCCCGAAAGTAATGACCTAGAAAAGGATCAAAATATAGTAGGACTAAGGGGTTGTTTGTTTACTTCAGAATGATTAAGCGTTGAATGATTCAAAGGTTTTGTATAAATTAACTCTGAATGTGACATGTTGTTTGATAATGACTCTGAATCATTCCGGATGTACTTTGATGCTGAATCATTCAACACTGTTTTGCTGAACCAGTCAACACTGAATTATTCAAAAATACGAAACAAACACGTTCAACATTCAACGCTGAATGATCTCATTCAGAGCCAAACAAACTGCCCCTAAATCAATCAAAACTGCATAGCACAAAGAGCATTACAGAAATTGACCAAGAATTGGGTTGAATGGAGATGATTACAATGTAGACCCCAACGGACAGTCTTAATAAGTGATGGGAGCCAAGCCACCCAGTCTTTTCCTTTTCGGTTCGATTGACCTACCCGACCTATTTAAACCGACCCCACATCCTACGTGGCAATTGTATAATTTAATATAAATTAGGAAAATAAATACTATATAAATAAATGAAATAAAACTTATCCCACCCGCAATTCGTAAATAACCCAACCCATCCATTGAAACGAAAAGAATTTCATAATTATAGATTAAAGAGAGAAATCGCTGATCAGAGAAAAACCCTATCCTAAAATGGGGAAGAAGAAGAAAAGAGTCTCGTCCACGGTATGGTGTTACTATTGCGACAGAGAATTCGACGACGAGAAGATCCTGGTGCAGCACCAGAAGGCCAAGCACTTCAAGTGCCATGTCTGTCACAAGAAGCTCTCCACCGCCGGTGGTATGGCCATCCATGTTCTCCAGGTTCACAAGGAGTCTGTCACCAAGTATCTCCTTTTCCCTATCCTAATATTACTCCTACACCTTTTCCGATTGCTTCTATATTCCATTTACTATTTTTTTTCTTATTTTTCGCTCTAAATTATGCTCGTCTTTTTAGGGTTTTTGGGGTTCACAAATATTTTTTCCCATTTAATTTTAGGGGATATTGTGTTTCTTTTTTCTCAATAGTATTTTTTTTGCAATAGATTATGGAGTATTATGTAAGCGCTTCCTTTTTCGGTTTGTCGGATACTTGTTCCCAGGATCAATGAAGGAATATAATTGCAGGATGAAAGAAAGCAAAAATTTTCGAGGGTTTAGTTCTTTGTACTCTGGCATTTGCCTTTTAAGATTGTCCCAAACACCTTCCGCTTTTAGATGAATAAATCAATTTGGGCAACTGGAAACACAATGAAACCCATATTATTGAGAGTAGCTACTAGTTCTTTGCCCCAGTTTTATTGATCTCTAGAAGAAGTTGCATTCCATGCACTTTTTGCACACAGGATAAAAAGGATAGATAACTTTATTAATAAGTAGATGCTTCTGAAATAATTTAAAATACATAAAGTGAGTAACCTAGCTTCTTAAAAGTTGTCTAAGAAGTTATACTTCCTGTTTGAATGTTAAGTGTTTGCTAGAGTGCAATCATAAATTCAATTTTCAAAAGCCGCCTATAAGTAAAGGCTGGAGCCTGCTGTGTTTTTTCTGTCAGTGAGCTTTGTAATAGACTGACGACATTTATTCTTTAAAGGGTTCCCAACGCAAAACCTGGCAGAGATTCAACTGACATTGAGATATACGGAATGCAAGGAATCCCCTATTGTACTAGCTGCTCACTATGGAGAAGAAGGTAAACATATAAATGTCTAATTTATAATCATGTTCCACATCAAATGATGATAGCTTGAGTTGTTGACCACAAACATACAAGTGCATGTTTATGTATAATATTTATATGCTTAAATGCCATCTAATTGCCACGTTTTCTGCTTCAGTGTTTTTTTTGCTGTTTGCTCTTTCAAATTTTCTAATGCATAAAAGCAAGTAGTAAATAAAATGTATTTGTGAAGGAGTAAGCAAAGCACAATGGATGTGCATTGATCTACATCACACTTTCTGGTTTCATATACTCCCTCTGTCCATTATTTGTGTCTGATATTGACTATGCACATAGTTTTAGGAGATATATTTGACCAAGAGAAATGAAAAAATTATCCCTAAAAGGTGATTGATAGATTCGACAGATTTGTTTTGATAGGTATAAAAGTGAGATATAAGATATAAGGGAAAATATAAGTGTTGTTTTTTTTTGATAGGAAAAGTAGGTCTCATAAAACCTCCTTCTAAGTAGCCCTTACCATGAGGTCAGAACCTACTAGGGGAAGGAGGAATAGAGAACCTTAATATATTGATATGTAAAAATTACATAAAACTAGAACCACTCCTTTAAGATACATAAAACTTAAGCACACTCTTATAACGCCTTGATTAAAAACCTCCGAACTCAGTACTAAAAAGTGACCCACTACCCAATCCCTCCTTGCAAGCAATCTGCCTCGCAATTACATCTTCTCGGAATCCACCTCACAATGACCTCATACTCAGAAACCGCATCCGCAATATCCTTGACAAATTTAAAAGAAAAGGAGGAACTGACTCCTGATATTTCAACCACTCCACAGCTAGCTTGCAATCAGATTCAATAATAAGCCTTCCTTCAATACCCATTCTGATGACACAAAGATGTCTATTCCTCTTTTGATAGCTTTTAACTCTGCTAAAATATAGGAGTAGGCCCTATTTTTTCTGAAAACGACATCAATTTAATCCGATTCCAATCTCTAAGAATGCCCCAATTCCTGCTAACAACCCAACCCTACTAACTGCTCATCCACGTTAAACTTAAAAAAATCGACTGGAGGAGGACTCCAGTAAACCACATGCCTGTTCGAATCAAGAGAAGCTGAAATATTACAGCCAATGAAGGATCACCAATTAGAGAGTCCACTTGAATAGAGGATAAAGGATACTTAGCTAGGAACCATTCGCAAGCCTAACCTGACTGTGAAAAACAATGAGGATGTGTCCAGCTTGCCTCTTTCAAAAACAATTCGTTTCATCTTCCAAATCGACCATAAAACAGCCCCGGAATAAACTTCCACATATTAGAAAATGGCCTAAGAACAGACCATGAAATTATAATTGATGAAGGATCAGTAGGTAAGGCTAACTTGATACCCCAGTAGGCTATGATTCTGTTCCATAGTACCCAGGAAAACTGGCAGTAAATAAACAGATGCTGAACTGATTCCTCTGCTTGATTGCAAAAGGGGCATAGAGAGTCCTCCCCTAAGTGAACCCCCTTTTCTTCAATTCCCCTCTAACCGCTACTTTATAAGTGATAGTTGCCAAAGGAAAACCTCTACTCTAGGAGGAACCAGACCTGCCAAACACATTTGTTCCACCTAAAGTTATCCTCATCCACTGAGTAGAAAGATTTCGTGCAAGCTTTAACGGAATACAAACCCTCGCCCGCACCAACCCAAAGCATGCAATCCTCCAAAGATCATTTAATTGATAACATTGAGCTTGTCCAATAGATCAACCAGCTGAGCCACTTCCCAATCGCATAGATTCCTCCTAGTCTTAATATTCCACTCCCAACCATTCAAATCAAAACTACCAAATTCAGCAACCTTACCCCCTTGATTTGTGACAGAGCAAAAATCCTAGGAAAAAGAACTTTCAATGGAAAATCCCAACCATGTATCTTTCCAAAAGAAAATCGAAGCCATTCCCAACTTGTAACCTCGCATGAGATCTAATGCATCCTCCAAAGAAATCATCCTTCATGTAGCTATCACAATACCTCTCCAAATCCAAGAGTCCTTATGGGAGGAGACTTTATTGACATCCATAGAAGACAACTAACACTATGTTTAGAACATAAGAACTTTTTCCACAAAGATTCTTTTTCGTTGGCAAACTTCCACACCCACTTTCCCAATAGTGCTCTATTAATAAGCTTCAATCAACAACTCCTAGACCACCTCCACACTTCGGTTTACAAATTTTTTCCAACTCACCAATGCATTTTCTTCTTTCTTCTCCTCCACCCATAAAAAAATTCGCCATCAAAGAGTTTAATTTTTGACAGATTTTAGCTGGGAATCTTGAAAATAGCGAGATAAAAGATAGGTAGGATAAAACCGACTTAATAAGCACCAATCTACCGGCCATAGACAAAGAAGAAGCTTTCCATCCCGCCAATTCTTATCAAAGTTAGCTAGGACTGGCTCCCACAGTTTCTCACAGTTTCTTTTAGCCCCTAGCGGAAGGCCTAAATAGACTGTCGGAAATGAACCAATAGAGCAGCCAATGTCCCTAGCCCAATTCTCAGTGTGTCCTCCTCACATTAATACCATACAATTTACTCTTAACTAAATTAAGATGAAGCCCCGTCATAAACTAAAAATCATCAACACTCGTTAACGTTTTTAATTTGAGTGATGGAGGCTCGACAAAAAAATTAGGTCATCCGCAAACTGAAGATGGGTCAAATTGAAACTGTTTTGCACATTTCCAAAAGAAAACCCTTGAAATAATCCTATTCCACAGCTTATTTAACATCATATGAAGGAGTTCACCAACCATTAAACAAAAGAGGAGAAAGACTACATCCTTGTCGCAAACCTTTAGCAATATGAAACTCTTTTGTAGGAGACCCATTCAGTAGAAGATATAGAAGCTGTAGAAATACACTTATTTATCCAAGAACACCACCTTTCTCCGAAGCCCATCTCCTTCATAAGCCTTAACAGAATCTGCCAATCCACGGTGTCATAAGCTCTGCTAAAATCCACTTTGAAAACAACCCCCTGCAGCCCTTGTTTCCTCCAATAATCTATGCCTTCATTTGCTAAACAGGCGCAATCCAACAATTGCCTCCCCGGAATAAACGCAAACTGTGTAGGGCTAACAATATCTTTAACACAAGAAGAAAGTCTTTTCGAAAGAACCTTAGAGAGAATCTTATACAAGCTGCCCACTAGACTAATAGGTCTATAATCTTCAATACTCTCAGGATTACCTTTCTTTGGAATCAAGGTAATAAAAGCATGATTCACTCCATGAACCCACCGCTTTCCATTGTAGAAATCTGAAAAAACTCCATAATCTTCACCTTCAACAAATTCCAATACTTCTTGTAAAAACCCATTGTGAAACCATCCGGCCCTGGTGCTTTTGCACTATCGAAGATGAAATTGCTTGCCACACTTCTTGCTCTGTAAACACCTCTTCTAGAGAATCACTTTGAACTTGAGACAACTGTTTAAAATCAAAATTCAAGCCCTCAACTTCCAGTGTAGTTTTTCATTATATGCATTCTTGAAAAACTTAAACACACTGTCTTTTATCTTTTGGATCCGAAATAACTTTGCCTTTAAAATTGATCGAATGAATAGTGTTGAATCTATTCCTTTTCAATGCACTAAGATGAAAAAACCTTGTATTCCTGTCTCCATCTTTATCTGTTTCTAGATTTTTGAAACCAAATTCTCTCCTCAATCCTTAACAGTCTCCATAATTCCTTTTTAGACTCAATCAATTGTGCCCAATCCCCTGCAGACTGCTTTCCACCTTGTCACTTTAAATCCAGATGTTAATTTTAATTTCCAGCAACGAAATTGACTCTGACAGCCCTAAATGTCCACTTCCAGACCAGTTTCTGATTTCATTTTTTGCAACCTGCAGTATTCTGAAAATTCCACACTATTGTTCTTCTTTCTTCTACTTCCAGTGAGTCTGCAACTAAATCATCAAAACCTTGTCTCTAATAGAAAATTAAAGAACCTAAAAGGTTTTGGACCCCAATTTGTAGATTTATCCTCCAGCAAGACTGGATTATGGTCTGAAATAGATTTCGGTAAAATCGACTGCACAATGTTAGGGAAAATCTTAAGGAATCTTGCGCAGATAAGGAACCTATCCAATTTCACCATGTTGAAGATTCTCTATTACTGCACAAGTGAAAGAACCTCCTGACATAGGCAGTTAATGAGATTGGCTTTTTGTACGAATGACCTGAAATATCCATAGTATGCCAATTTTGTGATTGCCTATCTTTTCTTCTGAATCAAGATACGCGTTGAAGTCTCCCCCTAGACACACTGGTAAATTTAGAGCTCTAATACTTCAGCAACTCCCCATAAAAAACCTCCTTCTCAGCTTCGCTGGAGGCCCATAAACATTAATAGCTACAAACTCCATAGAACCATGCTTAGATTTTCCTACTAACGCCAGAAACCTACTATGCACAAACTGATCAATGACTTGAACCACGTTCTCATTCCACAATGTAATCAATCCCCCCGATGACCCCTGTGCTGGAGAAACCAACACCCCCTTTAACAAGTTACCTCCATCCTTCTAAAAATCGCCCATGGCATCTTTCCAACTTAGATTCTTGAATGAAAAGAAAAACTGGTTTCGTCTTCTTGACTAACCTTGCTGCAGCTACACACTTCTCCCTCCTCCAAGACCCCTAATGTTCCACGAATAATACTAAAATATTCATAAAAAGATTACTCCCCCTACACTCAGCTAAAACTGAGCAGCCTTCATCCACCCTAACTGCATCTGTCTCTTGACCAAGACATAATAATTATCAATAAAAGCCTCCTTCCTTCCTTAAATGAAATACCTAACATCTCACACACTTCCAAGTATCCACTGCTTCCTTCAGTAATTCCACAAAAGAGGAAGAAGCAGTCGAATATTAACCAAGTCAATAGCTTCAGAAATTAAGGCTCTCCTCTCCTTCTCTTCCTTCTCTTTTCATTTCCTTTCCCTG